ACACTGCGAACCAGGAGGGAAATATTAATTTTTTTTTTTTTTTTTTTTTTCAAACGATAACAACCCAAGCAGGTGCGCTTACGTAAAGTTATTGTCGCCGCCGTTCGGGGAGCGCCAGAGACTGCGCCAGCAGCAATCGACGGTCTCGGACTCGTTGTAAAAGTGGGCTCGAGCTTTCGGGTTCACGAAAATCGCGCTGTTGTTCGACTCGACGAGGGGCAAGTGGGTGCCGTGTTCGCAAATTATCGGCGTGGCTTTGTCGATGTAGCGCGATACGGACGGCTCGAAGGGGTCGAGGTCGGGGATGCGGCAGCCTTTGTTATACACCAGGTAGCCAGTGTGCTCGGGCGACAGGCTTCTCGATGACAAAGTCGTGGGCGTCAGTGGGGTTGGCGTCGAGGCTTCCGGTTCGTCGTAGCGGACTGTAAATTTTCGTTTTTCGGCACCATTACTTCGCGGGGCGTTTTTTTACTTTCACCAGAGCAAAAAGTATAAATCCATCGAGTTTTCTTTCAAGGGGAAATAATATTGTCATTTTCGAATGTCTCGAAAGTCGATTCTTTTTGGTACTTTATGGTGCAGCGTTGATAAAAATATATTTATACATACCACGGAATGCAATGGAATGTCAATTGTATGTTCTCTGAACAAGCTATTGTTTTATCATTTTTTGCGATTTATGGCGTTAATTTTACCTTACGGACAAAAGTGTTGGGTACAAAAAAGTTTTATTTTTTTAAGATCTTGAGTATCAGTCGTGCTTAAAAATACAGTTTTTGTCGTGTAATTTGCAAGGATGATATTAATAGCTGAGAAAAGTTTTATATTTTGAAACAATATCGTTTTTTCTATACTGTTGCTTCGAAAAAAGTCATCAATGTTACACTCTAAAAACAAGAGAAGGAAATAAATATTCACTAATAATGAAATAAAATATTTGGTACGAATTTAATGAAAATACAGCTAAATTATAGCTTTTTTTGTGTAACTTTTTTTTAAATTCAGGTAAGACCGGTACAGTCATTTTTTCGTTGTGACTTAACAATATAACACTTTGATGTCACAGAAAATAATACAGATTTAAACTATACTCACTATTTCTGAATGGAAATAATACTTTGAAGAATAATTAAGAGTGTAAAGATTGTAGATCTTAAAAAAAAAAAATACGCGTGTATTGAAAAAAAGTAATTTTTATTTTTTGAAAAATAGAAAAGCTTCAAAAATAGCTAAAAAAATTAATTTTCTCTTGATGATAATTACATTCGTTTTGCAAGATCTGTGTACAATCTAAAAAACAATTCGTAAATCATAAAAAAAACTTTTCTTTTTACATTTTCATTAATCATTTAATTTTGATTCTTTAAAATTGACGTCACGTATGAGTATACCTTTGCTCTGGAGAAAAATGTAGTAAATGTAGCTGCTAGTATACCTTCATTGCAATAGATTTTTCACATTGATTTAGTAATACGAAAAAAATTAAAATAAGGTCGTTAACCTTGATAGGTGGAATTTCCGGATGAAACAATTTGGAATTGACTGATTGTAAAGCTGTTGATCGCCAACAAAGACGCCAATAAAAAGATAAGTAGTCCTATTAACCATCTTTGCAAACGCAGACCTCCTTTCAGACCCTCCGTTTCAAACGACATTTTCACAAAATCATCATCGTTATCTTAACGTTTGTTTGCGGAACTTTGGCTGTGAACATAAAACATTATGATCGCGTATAAACATCGCACAGCGATTTACATACATGCCGGAGAAAATGTACAAATTTGGAAATTGATGAAAAACAATGTTACTGGAAATATTTCGTAAGAAAAAAAAAAGATAAAAGTTTTTGTCTCAGTCCTAATCTTCCAAATGATTTCCTAACGTAAATAAAAAACAAAAATACATTTGTTGAAATAAACCTAAAGAATGTGACGTTGTTCAATGTTTTAAAAATACCTATGCAACAGAAAACTTAAATTTTACCAAAAAAAAAAAAAAAAAAAAAAAAAAAAAAAAAATGACAATAGTATGCTTAAAAATTGTAAGGATTGTGCTTTTTCGTATTAAAATTTCTCACAGACGTAAATACAAACAATACACGCTGAACTCTTAAACCTACGTTACTTTTGTCAAAATATTTTTGGCACCGCAATTTATCTTAAATGTATTTATTTAAAATTCACACGCTGGCTCAAAGCTCTTTCGCAACTTATACCCGTACACGTATAACATGCAAAGAGAAACACGCTAAAATCCTAATGAATAAAACCAAGCACCTATTATAGCACTTTCGACTCGTTATACCATTTATCGGTAAACACACACACACACACACACACATATTTGTTTTTTATGCAGATCGAGAAAAAGTGACAAACACGATTAGTTTATAGGCCCAAAGCACCCGTATTGTAGTCAATCGAGCAAAATCCTTAGCGCAATGCATAACACGCGATACTTGGTTTTGAAGCTAATTATATATATGGTAAAAAAACAAGAAATTGCGCGCGAAAAAGCGTTAGACACAGGAACCTCCTCCGATCAGTGCGGTGACGTATTATACGTATAAGGAACCATTTCCCCGAAGGAAAGCCATCGATCATCATTTGACAACTCAACCCGAAGACCATATACTTTTGCCTTTTGTTTGACAAAACGTGCAAAATTGTAAAATTAGCGGCAATAGCAGTAGAGCCGCATTAGCGAGTCATCGACGCAGGCGCTCTGGTTCCCGTAGGCGTTCAGCCGGCTGATGGAGCCGACGAGATCGAGGATGCCATTGTCGGTCCGAAGCCTCACCGAGCCCTCGAAAATGGCACTCCCGGGCTTCGTCTTGAAAGTGATCGAGTAGTCGATCCAAGGCACGGCCTTGTCGGCCTCGGTTTTCTTCCTCTCCTTTTCGTCGTCGCCGTCGCTCAGGGCCTTCGCGTCGACGAGGGAGTAGAGCTCGAGGTGGGCGCACTGGGGGTACCGGGCGAGCATACCGTTGATTCTGCCGATGATGAAATCCATCACTTTTGGAAGCGCCGGGTCGTCCAGGGACACGTTGCGCCGACCGTGGCACATGCACCAGTGCTCGGGGATACTCGCGCTCTCGCAGGTACGGTCCTCCGGGATCGGCTTGAACATGCTTATCCCTCGTTTCGGCTTGCCCTTGGGTATACTGTTGTTCTGGAGACAAAAAAATCAATCAATTGAATCTTTTTTCTTTTTCTTTTTTTTTTTTTTTTTTTTTTTTTTTAAAAAGAAAAAAACNAAAAAAAAAAAAAAAAAAAAAAAAAAAAAAAAAAAAAAAAAAAAAATGATGAAAAAAGCTTCTTTATCCAGACGAAACTTTGGAACAAAGTAATTCACCGTAACAACTGCAATAAATCCTTCGTTGTCAATTCAAAGTATCGAGCGCGCCTTTCAAGTGTTTAACGTGCATGCATGTCTACCTGCACAGCCCTTCTCCCCTTACCATTTAAAAGACGGATTTGAGCTACTTTGGGTACACATGCATACACATCCAAGCACGTTGGAGCCGTCGCGTGTTTAAAGCTCACGTCACGCGTGCGCTTGCCAAGTGTCGAGTGTCGAGATTTCTTTCTTTGATCGCGATTGCACGGGCGCGCGAGCCTATAAAAGCTCCTTGGCCGTAAGCAAACTTTTCCACGTACGAATTTTTCAAAATATTATTTGGTCAATAAACGCGGAGCTTGTGGAATCAACGAGATCAGTTTTATTTCCCGGACTTGAAGGGGGTATTTGTTGCTCCGATAAGTTATTGCGCATTTTATTCCCTCATTTTATCATCGTTCGATCAATTTTTCTCCGTGTTATCGTTCGATAATCTTGTTGTCACTCGGATCGATCTTCTTTTCATGGAACATCGTCATTAATTTCTCAAGCTATTTTTTACACTTTTATACAATTGATTGTCCATCAAATTGCTGTATCATCCACTGTACAAAAATTATGGTGTGGGATCACGTGTGATTAAACTTTGTTAACAAATATTGAATGTTTTTTTTTTCGAATTAAAATTTAGTTACCAATTTAGTTAAAAGTTTGCCAAAAATTACTGGTATCTCGGTATAAATCAGAATTTTTAATTAGTTGAATTTAAAAAATGTTTATAAGCAGAGACACCCTATAAAAAATATTGAATTTAAAAAATAGTTGTGAAATCAAACGGGCAATTTAACGAGGTCAGTACGTAGGAAAGCAGATAACATTGAATTCCAGCACTCGGTGTAAAGGACTTTTATGTAATAGAATCTATATTTGAAAATATATTGATTCCCGTAAAAATCCGTATTTTCTAAATTATTTAAATTAAAGTCGAACGATAAAATTAACTTTTTTAACTTTTAAAACGCATGCATTCTAAATCAATGAAAATTAATCAACATCAATTTCAATACCATCCATACGAAATACAAAAAATTAAAATTAAGAAAAATTAAATTAACTATCGTGATTTTATCGTAAATTAAAATCCAAACACGTAATGCCTTACGATTGCAGATCAATAAATTCCAGGCGCAAAATTAAATAGACGAACAAACGCAATTTCCCCCATTGACAGAACGGCACAAAAAAAAAATAAAAAAAAAAAAAAAAGAANCTTTGCTCGTGGAGATCTTGTTGCATCCCGTGAAGTGTGTTATGAAAAATGTAAAATAAAAAAAAATAAATAAATAAAATTAAATGCCAAACAAAACACGTGTATCATAAATAAAAATAAAATAAGTCGTGGGACTTTTTATTGAAAAAAAAAAAAAAAAAAAAACTTGTAACATCAATCGTGCGGGTCTTACTTGTCAAAGGATCCAAGTGTAGGGCGGCTCTGCATCACCATAACGGTATCATCATCCCGCGGAGTCGAAGCTGTTACTATAATACGCGAAAAGCATCAGTCGTCGCGAGGAGGGCGAGAAGCGACGAGGCTATATACATACTCGTGTTCCCCTCTTTTCCGCCTCTCTATGTATCTGTTGTATCTCACTCCGCACCGAGATACTCGTCACTCGCATATTAAACGCACACTGCGAACCAAAGCGCCAAATAACTGCAGACCAGTCGAGAGAGGAAAAAAAAAAAACACACACACAACAAACGCGCCTCGCATCCGCGCGAAACAATCCAGACACAGCCTCCCATTGCATCCTTCCCCCCCCTCCCCCCCGACACCCTAACGCTACCACTTTTATTCCTCGTTACGCCGCACTGCTGTTTACACTCTTGCCAACAATTTTCATACTTCTCTCTCGGACAATGTTAATCTCGGCCAAACACCTGTCTCCCTGTTTTCTCGCTACCGTTATCACCCTCGTCCGAGCGCGCCAATAACCCACCCATCATCGCTCCTTATCAGCTCCGCCGACACCCACGTGTCTCTCCACACATATACCCAACCCGTGTACAGCCTGTTGTGCTCTCGCGCCAACGATCTCACATTACCATCATTTTCTCAACAATCGTCAGCATCACTGCGCTGTGATCATATGGACCAATTTATAATATATACACGCGCGCACATTTATACATCCAACGCGATGTGTCACGGGGCAGGTGGAGCGACAAAAAAAAAAAAAAGGGCGCGTGTGTCCCGGCGCGCTCGACTTTTGGGACTAGGTGATGTAGGTGCGATCGCTGGCTCCTCGCGGTAGCTCCAGTTTTCCCTCTTCCTCGAATTAACCGGTCGATAGAAGAGCGCGCGCGCTTTTGGGACACCCCCTCCCCACCCTATGTATACACCGTTCCTGGCCACCCTCTTGCTCGGGGTTGTGTGGCTTACCTGTGTGTGGTGTTTGTACACGAGTACACCGAGACACGTGCAATGGCCTCGTGGTCGGACTCTGTGTGCTTTTGTAAGGGGGGGGGGGCGCCGCTTCCCTGCTTCTTGATTTTTCTCCCCCCCTCTGTAGTATTACCCTCTGTCTGATGTATATTCGTGGGGCATTAGGGTACGGTACATATATCCCTCCCTCGAATGGCTCGCCTAATTTATGCCGTAATGACTCACTGCCTCGATTATTTCGCTCGTTGGGGGGTAGGGAAAAAAAAAAAAAAAAAAAAGAAAATTGTTCCACAATGATTGTCGTTGGATTGACATCGTCGATTCGGACAGTGTGTTTTATTTAATGAGTACATGTATACTGTGTATATTTATATCTATGGGCATTATATGCTGTGACGGCCTTATCGGGAAAGGAAACAAAGCAGAAAGGCAAATTGAGTGTCGCGTATATATGAATTTATCTTATTTGCGATTGATGTGCTCTTTTTTTTTTTTTTTTTGTTTTTTTTTGTAAACAACAAAAATTTGCCATGCAGGAGATCTTTCAACGATGACAACAATCCCAAATGAGATTGCATGACGTATTGATGATTCGAGTGATAAGTGGTGGTCATCACCAGTTGATTTATAATTTGATAAAAGATTTGTTTATCGGGCACTTGGGTGAACAATTCATTGTTATTCGATAAAAAATCATGGGTAGCGGATTCGGATCTCGTTTGCATGTTTGTTGTCAAAAACAGTGCAGATATGAGTAAAAAAATACGAGTTTTTGCATATGTAGATAGAAAACTTAAACTTGTATGAAAAAATGCTTATTTTGAAGTCAAAACAATTAGATAAATTAGATTAATAATTTTACCAGTAAATAATTCGAAGGATTAGTTACTAGTAAGTTACTTTTTTTTCTATTGGAAATAATTTTAAATCAGATATGTTGAAAGCCCTTGTTTTATTAAAAATTCTTTTCAGAGTCTATTAATAGATGCACCGGCTATTGTAAGTTAGCTATACCGAGTATTACATAAGGTATACTCCTGTAGAACAGTCGTGTGTAGGAATACCAAGAACCTAATTTTGAAAGCTCAGTCAAGTCGTTATTTAATAGAATGAGTAGAAATCGCATGACAATTTCAAAAACATTTTCTAACGACACAAAAGAGAGTAATATTGGCTTGCAAAAAAAATTTAAAAACTAGAAAAAATTCATAAATTTTAAATTGTAAGCTAAGAATTGTAAAGTACGTGGTTAAAAGTTACAAAAATTACATACTGTCATTGATTGTCGTGTAATTTAATGATTATGCATTGTATAATTTTTTTGTGATTTTCTCAATTAATAAAACCATAAAATCCGAACTTCTTGATTGTAATAATAGTAACGTTGATTTCGCAAATAAAATATGTGTAAAAAGGTACTTTGAATGTGAACAATATTTAGTGAAAATACTGAAACTATTAAACCAAATTGTTTACACGGTAACGTTGTTGTTCCTTTATAGTATACATTTATTTTTTATTATGCTAAAACAGTTTAACTTTTAAATAGTCAATTGAAAGAGACCATCAACTTTTGGTTTTAAAAATTGAATAACTTCAAATTTATTGCGTATTTTTAAATGAATTAGGAATAAATGTTAAAAGAATTGGTAATTCACATCAAATAAATCTCAATAACACGCGTAAAAAAATGTGATATCAAACATAAAACCTTCCATCTCACCCACCCACCCACCCTCTTTTCGCGGTCAAACTCTTCCTTCTGATCTGATCCGCTAGGATTGTAATATCCTACATCACTTGTAATTGTTGCGCACGGAAGATAATGCGTGTGTTCGAATTTTAGGGTGCGCGCGTACCTATCGATCGGCAGCTCAAGTGAGGCTTAATAACTATGACTTTTTGGCCTCTGGATTTCACCACCTGCCAAGCAGCATAGAAGTATGTGAAGTGAAAAGTAAGAAATAATCGCTGTACTCACGTGGCTGCTGAAAAATTTTATCTTATTATTATTGTTAATTTTATTAGTACGATTTACATCACTGTTTTTAATATTTCAGCAATTACCACTTTATTCTTGTTACAAAAATATTTTTTAATAAAAAAAAATAAAAATTGCTGGAGCTCGACCTTCTTTATTTATGTTTTCATGCTGAAAATAAAAATATTTTTTATGCACTGACACGTAGTTTCGAGTATAAATGGATGCGCATAAACAATAGCTTTGTAAAAAATATGTACATAAAATAAGCTTAGGTAATAACTTTTTTAACTTGTCTTTTCACAAGTTTCATGTTGACTGATAATATCACTGATTCTTTTTGACGAAAAAAAAAATTTTTCTGTAGAAAATAATGTATGTATATTCTGAAAAACATGCAAACAATACTAAGAAACATCAATGTATTTTGCTTGTCACCTTTGAAATTTTTATTTTTAATGACTGATTTTACGATAATAATGAAAAAAATTTTTTTAACATCGAATCGTGTTGATGATAATCCAAGTCTTCTCATGTGTAAGAAAATTTATGAATGATAAAAAAAGCATAGATCAAAAATGTTTTGTTAAGGAATATTGATTCTTTCAAAGGAAATAAAATTCAATCATACATAAAAGTACATGTTACATTAGTGGCTCAGTGTGGTTCAGAAAGAAAAAGCGCTGTTTTGAAACAAGAAAATTTGTTGGAGCAGTTGCAAAATACTCGATGCGGACAATAAAATAAAAGGGACCATTTCTAATGGGATATTTATTATATTAGAAGCAAGATCAATGTTAGAAAAATAGTATGGCTTTATAATGTTTTGTTAAATCGAATAACAGTAGCGATCCTGCAAAAACTATTAAAAAAAGAAGAAAAAAAAATTCTGTAATCGTTCTTATTTTCAACAAAGTCGAGATAGCCTTTTTTCTTAACAAATTATTTTAAGGTAGCCTTTTTTTCTCCAAGTAGTCGATATACTTGTGTGCACACATAATTATATTTACATGTACATATAACGTAAATTATAATATTTTTCGATTTTTATAAAGTACATAATAGTTGTTTTTTCCTATACAAAGATAATAACAAATATTTGTCAATAAAAAAATTAAAAGATAACTCAGAATAGGATTTAATTTATGTACTTTTCTTTGCATCATAAATGAAAGTAAACCGTAATTAATATTTTTTAAACACTGAGAAAAAAATTTTAATAAATAATTGTTAAGCTGTATAAAAGTATTTCCCAACAAAGGATATTTATGATTTAATGGTATTTAATCAACACGGAGTAAGGTAGACCGCGGTCGAGTTTTTAAAGCCATTGAATGGTTAAATAGATTCACACAAGCTTTGTATTTTGGCCAGTAGGTGACGCCAGACTTCAATTTTCAATGGTTATATTTTTACTAGATTGACGTAAGTATACCTGTTATTTTTGTGTAAATACACGCATTAATGTATGTAAATATTACTTTACTATGTAAAAAAATCTCATTTATATTTTAAGCTAATAAAAATAATTTAAAATTCAAATTAATTAGTTCATAAATTATAGATTACCATAGTAAGAAAAAATTTTAATCGAAATCGTAGACTTATTAAAAAATGGGATCATGAAATATTTTTTCAGTTGGTAATAATGAAAATGGAGGTCGGGACATAAAACTAATATTGTAATTGTTTTTCATTCGTCATAATAATAATGGTTTATTATTGAAGTGATATAGATATAATGGATTCGTAACGTATTTAACTACAATGATACGCTCATGGCTATGTTTATACACGGATTATACAATATTTACAGAAAACAAAATCGACAAGCAATGTTCTTTATTTTTATTTTATTTTTTCTCATTCATATTTGTTGTTTCGATCATCATTTCAACAACGACGGGCATACCACATTCATCATATTATTCACAAGGACCGTGAGGCGATTAAAGAGTTCGGTATTGTTTTACAATAATTAATGAATATACATTAAGTCTACGGCTTAACGCATATTTTTTTTTGTTTTGCTTAAACTTGTTAATTTTATTTTTTAATTAATGTGTACATCGACTTTCATTTTCTCTCTTACGGATTCGCGTCGTGTTCTCTTCTGCGATTACGCGTATTTTCGCACGTATTTACAAATATATTACTTTTACCGTTTACGCACACATTCACACTGCTCGTGCACTGAGTTCCCTCAAAAAGAAAATTCCGTGAGATGTTTGATTTTTTTTTCCCGTCAAGCACAAACACAAATCTTTTGCCATTACGTTTATTGTTTTTATAATATTATTCATTGTTGCGATTATTAATTACTATACACAACGCTTGACGCTATCACCATTTTCGTCATATACTTTAATCAGTTTCAAATGTTTATGCTCATTGAGTATTAATTTATTTTATTAAAAAAAAAATTTTTTTCATACTTTGTAACTTTAAAAAAAAAAAAAGGAAAAAAATTGTGTCCGATAAAAAAGTACGATTGTTTTCTTTTACTTCATAGGAATATATTGACTGTTTTATCGGACGACTTGCACTCGCGACCCTTAAAAAATTCTACTTGTTTGTCGGCTCACGCTTTAATAACGTCCAGGTTATTTTGATGCTCCATTTTTCAGGAATATAATTATAGGTATAATATTGTACAATGTGAGTTTACGAACAAAGTTAGGTCACCCACGTATAAATATATTTGAGATTCTGCTGAGATACAAAAAACGCTCGATATGCTTTATTTTTGTTTTAATGCGTGCTGTGTACAAAGTCGAATGAAATATATTTAAACTGCGCTTTGAAAAAATCTATATAGTTACACGTGTACTTGTACACGTTTTTTCTTAATTTTTTTTTTTTTCTTTTGTTGATTTGACAATAATGTAAAGAGACCGGACATGCGTCGCTCATTTCGATTACGTATTCTCGTCTTGTCTTGCACGAGTCTCGTATTCATAAACTCTCCCTTCTCGCTTCTCCCAAGTTTAATGTACAACGAATCAGTAAAAATCGGGATGAGCCGCACTTGTATGAAAAATTATGCACCCTTATTTTTCAATATCATGACTTAATTTACAATCACACGGTACACGCGTTGTATTATACGCATTGAAGATTTTTTTTAATTGCACGATAAACGCGGTCTCGTTGCTCCTCTCTCGCTTGCGCCGGAGCACCATTTTATACTTGTTTCGTGCGCAGGCTAATAACCGCCGAGGGAAGAAACACACTGGCTGTACATTACTAAAAATGCAAATAACATTGTTGATGATTAAAAAAAAAAAAAGCAGAGACTTTGGTTCCTTTTTTGTATTTTTAAAATCTTCATTGAAACTAAAACACAGGGAATTACAGTAGAAAGCGTCGAACTTTAATTAACCACATTAACCATAAAAATAATTAAAAAAAAAAAAAAAAATACACAACGAGCTCGTCACTGAAAAACTTTGATGTAAATAAAAAAAAAGAAAATACGGAGATTCGCGAGAAAGCCATACCGGCGCAATCTCGTGTGCCTACTTAACTCTCGCAACGTTCGAACGTGCGAATTTATAAACAATCATTGCTCTTGAACTCAACTCACAAACACACAATTACTCTACGCACGATATTGATAGAATGCAATAATCAATTTATTAGTTTTATATGTATATATGCATATATATATATATTTATAATACTATGATACAGGATATAAGTACATTGGTTTAGTGATTGCAGGCTGCTCTCCTCTGATACACTGAAAAAAAAATCATATCACAGCGAGGGGCGCTGCCGGGCCCGCTTCTACTTACAACTCGTCTGTATAACGCTCCTCCCACTTGCTTTAGCTCTTCTTTTCTCTCGCGACAATTCCTAATAAATGTATAACTTATACATCACGCGCTCACTCATTGCATCGTATTACAAATAACACTCGACTTCGATTATCGCTCGTTTTCTAATACATTTTTTTTTTTTTATAATATACACATGTGTATATATATAATATATATCCCATATACATACTTTGATCGCAATAATTTTTATTTGCCATGTGTTTAATAATTTGCTACATTTTCCATACATTTTTAGCTTAGAGCCTAAGTGTAAAAGACCATCGCTTCATCGTTCGCGAACTCTCGCAAGTGGACGGTCTTGGATAACGAAGCTCGGCATCAAGACGCGGCGTCGCAATTTTCTTCCAATACACTTTTACGATATCGATTATTTTGAAAATTGGGAATTCAGTCTATAGACGCCACGATTCAAGCTTGGCTATCGCAATCAAGCAGATCGACACGATTGTTTCATTTAATACGAAAACGAAAAGAGATGACTACATGTAATAAAACGATAACATAATATTTTTATACGCGCACAGCGTCCCATCACACTCGTTCGTATGCTTATGTTATACATGTATGTATAATATGTACAAAATAGATGAATAACGATTTTTGGAAGAATAATAATAATAGTGATCACGATGAAATTTAACAAACGTATACAACGAGTAACTTTATTACTATTTTTTTTGTTTTGTTTTTTTTTTTGTTTTTTGTTTTTTGTTTTATTCCAACCAAGGAATGAAGTATCAAAGCACGATGACAAAATTGTGTCTGCGACGATGGATGAATGAAAATTGGATGTAACGTAATGACAATAAACGGAATGCATGTAAATGTCCGAGTACTTTGATACTTTCGACGCTGTAGGATAAAGGAAGTAATATTGCATGGAGGCTCGATTCGTGCCTCTTTATCTACGTACCATTAAAATAGCCCTAAAGCAAATCCGGACGTTCGGTCGACCGATCATCGTTTGATCGGCCAATATTTTCCCATCCGATTTTTACACGACATTACAAGACTAGTGTGATTATAGGAACATGGTGTCGTCTTCATCTGCCGCAGTGCTCTTTTCTTTTCTTTCCCCACACGAGAGATATGTCGCGTGCACGCAGTCAAGTGCACATTGTTGTTCATCGAAATTCCCAATTTGAGATTTGTCGTACGTTTGCCGTACCAATAGAAAAAAAGGGTAAGAAAACAATATACTAAAAAAAAAAACAAAAGGAAATTTCACACCTCGATGGTTGTCTCGCACTACTGTAGGTTCTCGCAGTTGAGGAAGACTGGAAGGGAGGAAGGGAAGGTACAATAACAATGAGCTCCACGCGTACAACACACTCACACGCGCGTCATTCGAGATTCACACCGAACCGCCGATCGACGGTAATCTATTCGAAATTACAAAACGCAAACAAACAAAAAAATGCGCTACTCAGTCCGCGGGGAAAGTCGACGATCACCAGCGAGTAACGAAGCGATCCGACGAACCTCGTTTTTTTATTGATTAAACGCAGGGCCACTCGTGGCTGGCAAATTTTGTCCGCAGGAAAGGAGACGAAATTCGCGAGCAGCAGCGGCAGCTCGTACTATACGTAGCCTCGACGAGAAAAACTACCTAGGCAGCCAAGCCCTCGCCCCTCGGTGGCAGCAGCCTCGGCGAGTCCTCGCTCTCGGGTCTCTGAGCAACGGCTGCCGCGGCAGCAGCAGCGACAACCGCAGCCTCGCGGTCGTAGAGCTGTGGGTGTCGGGGTGGCTCCCAGGGCATGGCGGCCGAGTTCTGGCTGCCGGTGTTGGACGAGGGCGTGCCGGGCGAGTGGACGGGCGAGGGTGGGCTCGAGGAGGAGCTCCTCTGAAAGAGCAGTGATCCCGCGGGCAGGGCTGCCGATTTTGGGCCGATCATGTCGAGCTGGGGCGAAAGTTGTCTGCCAATGTCGAGGTGGTTGGCACCTGGGAAGCCACCCGCGTACACCGAGCCGAACAGCCCGGCGTACTTGTTGGCGCCCATGGGGTGCTGGCCGGGCATGGGCAGGCCGTTGCTGCCCTGGTGGATCGCCGATATCTCGTTCAGCTGTAAGAGTTAGAGGGTGTTGTTGTTGTTGTTTGTTGGCGGGGTGTCTTTGTTTCGCGGGCTCATTCGGGAGCTATCACCTGTGCAGACAGAAACGAAAAGAGAAACGGCTGCGATGAGAACCTTTTTTTCTGATCCTTCGATGGTATTCAAAAATGGCGAGCTTCGTTTCCCTTCGTTTCTTTTGACTTTTTTTTTTTTCTTCTTTCATAAAGAAAGGTTGAAATTGTTGCGATGAGAAACGAAGCGCGTTTTGCATTTTTTTCTTTTTTTTTCATACATCACATATATTATATGGTTATAGTCCTGATTGGAATTTAATGCAAAATAGCAGAAATCAGAGGTCTCTTGCGCACTTGTTTTTATTTTCGATGCCAAAGTGCGCGGGTATACTTACATTACGATTCAATCAACAACAGATAGAGAGAGATAGAAAAAGCTGCGTAACAGCGCGTCAAATGTCATGTCTGACGGTACGCGTACTGTTTCTACTTATTTTGACCAATCGAGTGACAAAAGTTTTTCTTTTGCTCTAAATACATGTGCACGTATTTGTTTGTGTTCCGCTCACCTTCTGTGGCATTCCGTTAAGGAAGGGCGCGGGTAGGTACGGATAAAAAAGATCCGGCCTGCGCTGCAGGAACTCCGAGTCCTTGGGCGTGATTGGCAGCGAGGGTATGTCCAATGACATTCGCCGACCTCGACGCGACGCCCCGTTGGTCCACATGTGGGTACCCATGTGCACCTGCGAGTACATTAAAATGGTTTTACGTCACGATTTGTCTTTGTGTCGCTCACTTCAGGAATTATATATACGTATGCCGTGGAAAAAAAAAAGAAGAGGAAAGGACCAAACAACTTCTTAGCTCGAAGCTGTACTTCAATTTCAGTATAAGAAAATAAAGCAATTTTCATTGCTCCCGTGTGGTACAATAATTTGACTAAAATATATAATACATGGTAAATATGTGATCCGATTAATGGTGATGTAATATCGAGATTAACCATACTTTTTCCACATGAGTATATGTAAATATGTACAGCAGTTAGCGTTAGTAGGGAGGGTGAAAACATAGCAGCTTAAAAGAAACAAAAAACACACGAGATCGATGAGCATTAGGGGGAAAAAGAGGGAACAAAGCAGGTGGCGCCGAGGAGGAAAATCGATTATAATCCTTTTCTTTTCTTTCTTTTCGACTTTTGTTTTGAATAGGAAAAAAAAAAAAAAAAAAAAAAAAGTAACGGTATTGTGCGCGGCAGTGGTCGACGATGCGGTACCTTGAGATTGCCCTTAGTGGTGAAGGCCTTCTGGCAGACGGTGCACTGGAAGGGCTTGTCGCCGGTGTGTGTTCTCATGTGGATCTGGAGCGCCGAGGACGAGGAGAAATTCTTATTGCAAACCTGGCACAAGTGCTTGCTGGGCATGCCTGCAAATACACACACACAAAGAAATTCGCTAAGCCGTCCTCTCAAACAAACTTTTTTCTATTTTTTTTTTTTGCTCCAGCTCACTGTTTACTTTTCAGCCAATCTCGAGTTTAACTCACGAGTTTATTTTTTAATTCCAGACAACAAGGATACTTATGACTATTAGAATCGTGTGCGGCTATCGGATGGAAATAATAAAAACACGTTTGCCTTCTCAATAACGGCAACCGGTAATAAATACTCGTATTAAAGAGCGCGTGCACGCGATCGTATAAATATAGAAAAATCTCTGGATACGCGTTTATTAATGATTCTAAGAAAGTAAACAAACGTCATTTTCTTTTTACCTTCGATTAACGAGTATCACAGTGAAAAATGATGCGTAAGGCGCATTAAAGGAAAAAAAAACTCTTCCTCTCGGCGCAACGTATGTTAAACTAGCAAAGTACGCACGGTTTTGTGTGTAGATAAAAGCATTTCTATAAAAAAAAAAAAAAGAGATGGTGCAGGTAAGTGGCTAAAAGCTCGCGAAAGCTTGTGATTGTAATAAGTGAGATGCTATTGCTACGTAATGCCCAAACGCCACACTGGCCAACTCTCTTTGCGCAAAGCGTATGTAAGTGTATGCTTTATTGGAGTATATGAAAACTTTAGCTGTTTATGTGCCTCAGTACTTGCTCTATACCTAAATATACATAAGTGTACATCTGGGTGCAATCGATTATTCGTATAGTAAGGTTTCGAGGCTATTGCACGTGCACCTACAAGTGGGAGATTGATTATGTATACAGATTTTCATACGCGATAGACAAATTATATAGCGTATATGTAGAGTACAGTGGGTGACAGCCCAACACCATTGCCAAAAGCGGTGACTTATGGTTATTCGCAAAATGCGTATGTTGACATTTGTTTGCAGCATATTTGAATTATATTATATGGTTATTTACAAAGAATAATATAACTTGCGGTACAAGAATAGCAAAGCACGAGAATTTTTTTTTCTTCTTCTCTCGTGGTTCGTTTGACGAAAATTTTTGTGCTCGTCGAACCCCAAGCACCTTATACTTTGAAAATGGAAGAAGTGAAACGCGTATGAATTTGAAACGTCGAAAAATGTTATCGACCCATTGAAACGCAACGAATTCGCTAATTTTGACTTTCAAAACTCGGCTAAACACACATTTTTGAAGATTTAATTTTTTCGATGGCACAATCGCGGGGTAAGGTCGCCGACGCGATTTCAGAGACGTGCCTCGTTTAACTGTACTCGTGTGTGTGTGTGTGTGTGCGATATATGCGTATAATAGAAGAGGTGCCGTTCACAGTGATCCAGTTCAAAGTAAAAGGTCGCGAGGCACAAAAACCTTGGAGTATATGCACATATAAGTATACGATGTAGTTGGATCAAAGACTTACTGGGCGACCTCTTGGGCGCGGGCAGGTCGTTGTCGGGCAGTTTTTTCGATTGCACGTCGAGCGGTGCGGGTGAGGGGTGGCGCTGTTGGGACTGCGAGACCACGGGCACGGGGGGTGGCGGTGGTGGGAGCGACAGGTTCGACTCGTCGGCGGATATCGGACTCCTCGAGGTCTCCCTCGGCTGGTGCAAGTGCTCGTGCAAGGCTTGACTAGTTGGCACGAGTGGCTGCTGCTGCGACGAAGGCGGAGCTCCAGGAGGCTGTTGTTGGCCGGACAGCTTCGAGTCGCCGAACAGATGGTGCGGCATGTCGCGGATCTTGTGCGTCAGCATGTGCTGCTTCATGTTACCCTGCGGCAATAAGACGAGGTGGCTTTGGATTTTTATTTATTTATTTTTTTTCATTATTTACGTTAATTTATGTTCGTGCGCAGCAAACAGGAGCGCTTTACTGGGATGGATGAGCTGTACGGGATTAAAATTAGGTTCGCATTCAATGCCATGAAACACTGAGCGGTGAAAAAAGTATTTGTTTCCTCTCGACATTTCTTCTAACGTAAAATAATAAGAGCAGTAGCCGAGATGAGCGTGTTGTGTACGAGAGTTTCAAGGTTAATCTAATAAATGAGTTTCCTAACGAGTGGAAGGAAATTGTTGCTTTTCTCGAGCAACGCCATCACGAGTATACAACTCGAGCAAACGTCGACGGCTCGGGGAAAGAAAATGTTAAAATAGTTACACCCCAAGGGCAAGGATACTTTGTGTTTTTAAAATTTGTTTCATCCATCGATAAAACGGAGCTTTTTTTTACCCGAAGAACGTCAAAGTTGCTCGTACCCTCGTGTTGTTTAATACTTGATTGGGATAATCGCGTGTATAAAATATACTTTACAAAGGTAATTTCGTGATTAACGTTTTTAAAATTTTCTCATTTGTATTTCAAATCAATAACGTAATGCGCGCGTTTTGAAGAAGAAAAAAAAAAAAAAAAAAAAAAGAAAGAAAGAAAACGTATATGTTAATTTAGCTTTGGAATCGTAATAAATTTTCGCAGATAAAGATATGAGCACACACGACGACGGCGACGGCTTTATGTACAACGTAAAGGTACATACGAGCGCGTGCGCGAGAGCGAGCGCGATTATGCATAAGGAAATGATTATGCGTCGAGGAAAGAAAAAAAAAATATTACAGAAGCCACAGCGCGACGACGTTTATAAATATGCAAACATTTACATAATGCACGTAATGTACATAAAATATGTACGTTTTGAGCCACTGTCTCTCTTTCTCCCTCTCTCTCGCTCTCTTGTGTACGCAAGTATATATAGATACATGCTCTGTGGGTCTTGGCGTTAGCATTAAGAATGAATAGTTTTTATCGGGCTTATTTACGCTTCTGGAACATCGCTATCTTAAACATTCAAAAGATTGTGTCTATACGTGCTTGCGTATGCGCATGTGGCTAGGCCGAATCAATTTCAAAACTATTGTACATATAAATGGATATATTCCTACTCGTTTTTTTTTTTTTTTTTTTTTTTTTTTTTTTTTTTTTTTTTTTNTTTTGATTTTTTTTTTTTTTTTTTTTTTTTCCTTCAACTTTAATAATCCTTTTATTTGTATATATCAATGGTTTCTCCGTGAAATCGACAGCGTCGTAAATCTCTCGTTCAATGATTTACAATCGAACGAAGCGCGCGTTAATAAATATCAATTATCTATTTCCCAACGGGTTGATCGGTAATTCGAACAAATTAGAAATCGTAAATCAACAATAAAATTCGCTATTGCGTTTGTGGGAAAGAAAAAAAGGCTAATGTCATTCGAGGCAGCTCGTCTAGTATGAACAACAAAACCATTTCCACACAAAGTACAACGAAACTTTGAAACGGAGTGTATATCAATCATGGTAGCAAAGCAAAACAAAAAAAAAAAGAAAAAAAAATGGTGACGGATGAAAATAATACAAATACAACACGGGTGTACAGGTAAGACACAGCTGATGAACAAAAAAAACAAAACAGGTGATGAAGGAGGATGAAAAAAAAAAAAAAAAAAAAAAAAAAGAAAAAAAAACATAAATCAAACGCCCTGGATAATCACAGATTGTCTTACCAGGAGGACGGGGTCGGAAGGCGCCAGCAGCCCGAGGGCGGACGGCGCGAGGGGGGGATAGCCGTGAGGCGGGGGGGCATAGACCGCCCCCTTAACTGCCGCCGCCGCCGCGGTAGTCGTCAACTCGGCGGCGCCGGTCAGCAGGTCGCCGCCAGTCCGCCCCCGGACGCCGCTTCGCCGCTCCTCGGCCCGCCGTCTCCTGCGCGCCTTCTCGCGGGCACTCCGGCGGGCGCGTTCGGCGCACCTGCACTTTTCGACCGGCTTCCCCGGCGTTCCCTCAGTTGTCTGCAAATTTTTACTTTTTACTTTTCTCATTGCTTTTTTTTTTTTTTGTTTTTTATTTTTGTTTTTTTTTTTTTTTTTTTTTTTTTGTTTTTTTTTTTTTTTCATCTCTGCATCAAAGATTCAAAAGCACAAATTTGTTTACATGTGTACACATGGGTGGGGCATGTATCATGATTGCGATAATGTTTTTTTTTTAGTCGTCAGATAATTTATGATAAACTCTCACGTCAGGCGAATCGATGATTTTTTACTCTCATAAATAAATCAACAACGAATAGCGATAATGATAATCTGCAAAAAAATAAAAAATTAAGCGTGGATTACGTGATGCCGAGTTATTTTGTAACTCTGTCAATTAACGCATCAATTATTGAAATTTATTGAACTCGATGTGAAATTCTAATTACGGGTCATTTTCCATACAAAAGAAGCCACATTAAAGCGCAATCGATTGTGCTGCTGCGCGTAAGAATTAGCATCACACATAATATTATATACTTAAGCAAGGTAAGGACAAATTCCATAAAAGCACATATTTTTAGCGCAACATAAACTTCTAATTAGAGTAACGAGGATCCAATTTTTTTTTTTTTTTTTTTTTTTTCCAAAACCCCAAAAGTTTAGAATCTATTGTTTTATGAACCAGAGCCTGCACGCCCTAAAACGCGATTGTATTTACTCTTATCAAATGGGCAGATCGGCTAGTCCTGGCGCAAAAGTACGACCGTGCTCCTCCGATTTCCAAGCATATAGTAAACCGCAAAAGCAGCTAAAAGGAACAAAAAAAGAAAAGGGCCCCTTATCCGTGATGCCTCCAAGAGGAATATACGGCATGATTTCAGGAACTTCTTGGACCGATCATCGATAAGTAAGAGTCCTATATTACTCGTGCACGGACTTAGGGTAACGCGCTCGCCTTCAAAATCATTATCCCCACGGGCTTTCAATGCAAAATTTTCGTTGCCAAATTTAGAAAAGATCGCGCAGATTCTCTCTCCTGCAAAAGAAAGGGGCCAGACTATATATTATGCTCAAGATCGAACACCTACAATATACTTAATATTAATAATGAAGACAAGCCCACTCGCACATACAACGGCATGCAGTGGTAGGTATGGATGTGTGCACTCGAGGATTGATGGGCGGTATTATAGTGAAAGGATGATAAGTAACACTGTGACGAACAAAAAGTCGAAAAGGAAAAACAACAAATAAACAAATAAAACAGATGTACATGGTTGCGATGTGCGCGCGTATAGTGTCTTACCTTAGTTGAGAAGCCCCGGTCGCAGATCGAGCACTTGAAAGGTCGCTCCTTCGTGTGGCTCCGGTAATGAATCTCCAGCGCCGAGTTACACGCGAACGTTTTGTAGCAGATGTTGCATGTGGTGTTACCGCGCACTGCAACAGATCGTCCGATGATTTAGTGTGATACAGTCTCGCTTTTCGTGTACACCTCGAGACCTGCATATATATTTATATTATATATATACGAGTACAGCTCGCTCACACCGCCAACACCGATTATCTCTTTTGACTGTATAGAACTCGCTCGCGCGTATACTTGTGTGTATATATATATATATTATGAGCTAGCACAGAGAGAGAGAGAGAGAAACTTGGCGCGATTTATATATACACACACGAACCGAAAGTTTCCGCGGTTTTCCGCGTTAATTCGCGCTCGAGAGATCGCGCGAGGGAGTTTCGCGCGTTGCCGATCATTGCGCTTGATAAATGGAATTTTTCGAAAGACAAGCGCGTGTCGGCTCTTTTCTTCGAGAAGAAGGGGGGGGGGGAAACTACACATCAGCTACTTGGCTCCACCGAAGCCTTTCAATTATTTATTGACGAAGCGGGTATCGATTTACACCGCAGTCATAGTTACGTGTACACATAATATCGAGAGGCTTTGAAATAAAAGGACGTATGTGAGTATGTAGCATCTCCTTAACCGAGAAAATTCCGGGAACGCATATATTACAATTGAACCAGCGGCACGCGAGGCTATTGTGTAAAGAGAGAGAGAATCGTCCACCACCACCACCGTCGACGAGAGACTGATGTGCATTCGCGAAATAATTTCCGTGCAGGGGCAATGTATCAACGGGTGATCCTCACGATCGAGGGGAATCGGTTGGTCTTTATGGGGATATGCGTTTACCTGTAGGTACAACCATGAATAGAGTCGCGCGTCGTCGTGCGAGGAAAAAAAAAAACAAAAAAAAAAAAAAAGGACCGTATGAATAGAAAAAAGGAGCGCGAGATCAAACGCGGGCGCGAAAGGTGTACACCTACTGTGCAAGCGATGTTTCACGAGGATAAAATACAAGTACACACACACGAGACGACCGTGCCAAGTGGAGGCATTTAAAATGTAAAACAGGATGCATTAAGATAATGCTCGAGCGAACGCGAGAAGAAAACGCCTATGCCGCGTGTGTATGCAGCGATTTTTTCTTTCTCTCTTTCCGCGCGACTTTTTTCTTTCTCTATCGGCTTTAGTGTATAGTAACGAGAAAAGTGACTGTTTATTGTAATAATTAAAAAAAAAGACCGGAGGACGCTCGTTGCTCTTCTCGAGGACGAGATCGGATGTTTTTTTTCTTTTTTTTTTTTTTCCTCAATACTGTTCATGATTTATATTGTTACAGTCAAGGAATTACGTGATTTCTGTTTGGCGGTAGCAGCTATGGAGAAAACGATTTATATTCCATTGGGATTATGTAAATGCACGAGTCTGCGATCACTTTATGATTGGCTGATGTGTTGTGGAAAAAGGCTCTAATTTATGAATATTAGAAAAACCGAATGAAATATGATTCGTAAATGGCACAAAAACACGATAACTCACGATAGCACGGGAGTTTATGAAAGAGTGTAAGTACACGTACAAGAATATAATTATAAGATCCAAGTGAAAGGAGCTAAGCTATATTATATGTATAATAAGAGAGCAAAGGGGAGAGATACAAGAAGAGAGAGAGAGAGGTGGGGTCCGGCTACACCAAGCAAAGGACTTTGGCATTTCGGGGAGCATTAGTATTAGTTAATAATCGGCGTGGGGTTAACAGAGCCTTCAAAAGTAAGTATATAACAACGTAAAGTGGAGTCTCCAAGTAACAATGTCACGCACAAAAATAACAAACGAACGAGTATATGTATATTTTTTTTTTCATCATTCAACTCCATTTATTTGACATTTAAAAAAAATCATATGCGACGAGTAAGACTAAAATACTTAAATAATAATTATAATGATATTAATAATAATAATAATATTAATAATAATAATAATTATAATATCCATCGTCTTTGTTTTATATACAATACAACACATACTATAATATATGTAGAACAGGTTCATACTTTATTACAAACAATTTATGTTTATCCATGACAAGTTTATACGTAAATACGTTTCACGTTGAATCAAACTTGAAAAATTTCATTTTAAAGGCTTCAACTACACAATGTGCGTTATTTATGCAATAAGTTACGACGACGAGTAGCACATTCGACGCTACCGTGCGTTTTATACGTATATTATACTCAATGATCCGTAACGAGTACACATCATGTTATAAGTATAATGAAGGATTAAGAGAAAAAGAGCTTCATAGAGTGCGAGTGTACATATGATAAATGATGATAAGGTTGTGATTCGCAGGTGTAGCCTTTTATATATGTATATATTGCAAAAAGAACCGCACATATAATATATTGTATGTATATGTATAGTCCGCGCGTAATAAGTGTCGTATTCCACGGTGAGGCCAGCACCTAGAGACCCGGGCAGTAGGTAGTGGAGTGCAGTGTGTGAGAGTGTCATCGTCAGCGCCTACCTGCCGAGCCGCCGACTGCCAGACCCAGCGGGTTGTACGACGAGGTGGCGGCCCGCACGGCCGAGGTCGTCAGTGAAGCGAGGGGACCGATTCCTGGTCCGGGGCTCATCACTGGGCTCGGTCCGCTTGGCGCGCTGTTGATACCTGGGCCCCCTGGCGTAGAGACAGCTTGCAACAGCCCGGCGAACATGCCGAACGGATGTGGTGGTGGTGGCGGCGGCGGTGGTTGTTGTTGTTGCATCGGCTGCGGTGGATTGTGATGCGACATGCTGGTCGGATGTAGGCCGCTGCTGCTGCTGCTACCGAGGTTGTGTGGGACAATGGGTGGCGAAACTGGCGCCGAGCTCGCGGATATCGGTGTCGATGACGCCCGGGGCGTCAGATCAAGCGGTGCCGAGGAAAAGCCGGCCGGGTTGTTCGACGGACTGCTGATACTCTTTTCGCTACCGTTGTACCGGTGCAGAGGAGCCGGTGGCGACTGATGGTGTTGGTGATGGCTGTTGTTGTTGTTGTTGTTGGCCATGCTGGTGGCCATCGTCGTGATTGTGCGCACCTGGCTTTCGAGAGCTGCCAAGGACGTGGAAAACGATGGGGCCATCACTGGCGACATAACCCGGATGCCCTCCTTGTTGTCGTTGTCCTGTTCCATGAGCAACTCCTGTTGTTCCCTGTCCCCGTCGCAGTCCATGCTGTTCCGCCTCTCGCGCGAGTCCTCGCACCTGTCATCGTCCTCCCCACGATCAGCCTCTACCGCTGCAGCCGCCTCATCCTCTTCGTCCACGTCCTCGGGCTCGTCCATGCCAGCTTGCTCCTCCAAGAAGCGCTGGTGGAGCTGGTGCTGCAACATCTGCTGTTGCAAATGCAACTGTTGCTGCTGGTGGTGATGGTGATGGGAGTGGTGCATCGAGTCCTTCGAGTCGACGTCGTTGTCGAGCAGAGGGGAGGGCCGCTCCAGGGCGTGTTGCCGGGCCGTCGGGGGAAAACCGAGGGGGAAGCCAGCCGCCGGGTGGAGGGGCGGAAAGCCCCCGGGAAGGAACGCCGCGAGCGGATGGTGCGGGTAGCCGGGTGGAAAGTCGTGCACCTCGGCCGCGCGTATCTGTTCGGGCGTGAGCTCGGTCGGATCGTTGGTGTGGAGGTTGATGTGTTGCTGGAGGACGAACGAGTTGGCGAACTTTTTGTGGCAGACGGTGCACTGGTGCAGCAGCCGGAGCGGGGGCTTTGCCCTGTGCACGCCCATGTGGGTCTTGAGGTTGCCCTTGGTCGTGAAGGCCCGGCCGCAGATCTTGCACTTGAAGGGCCGCTCGCCCGTGTGGGTCCTGTAGTGCATCTGTAGGGCGCTCTTGCAGGATAACACCCGCTGGCAGATTATACACTGGTTCGGGTCCGTGAGCTTGTGCTCGATGTTGTCAACGAGCTGCTGGAGCTTCGATGTCTCGCTGGTCTTGGTGATCTCGATCAGGCTCTCCCAGGAATTGTCGTTGCTTCCGGGCCTGGGCAGCAGACTCGAGTAGATGGCAGGATCGCGCGCTGGATCCAACAGCTCCGACCCACCCACACCTGACGAGCGCTCCTGCTGCTCTCGCTGCTGCTGCTGCTGCTGCTGCTGCTGCTGCTGTTGTTGTTGATGTTGTTGCTGTTGTTGGTGGTGGTGGTGGGGCAGTCCCGGGAACAGGATGTTGGCGAACGAGTTCTGGTAGCTGTTGCCGCTGCTGGCGCTGCTGCTGGCCGGCGAGGCACCCGGGTAGACGTGCATCGACTGTTGCAGCATCGAGGCTGGATTCGTCGCGCGGCTGGACAGATTTTCCGGCTGTTCGTCCATGTCGTCCTCGCCCTCCATGTCGCCGCCGGTCTCCGTGTCCAATCTACCCCCAGCACCTCCACCGCTCGTCTTGCTCTCCATACTGCAGTCCTCGAACATCTGCTGGTGTAACACCGAGGCGGCCCCACCAGCGGCAGCCACCTTGGCCTCCAGCGTGGGCGACGAGGATGAGTTCAGATGGTAGCGCCGCGACGCCGCTTCGACGTCAAACAACTCGTCCGTCTCCTCCTCGTCGTTAACCTCGTCCACGTCCTCGGGCTCGTTCTTCGGGGTGATGCTTTCACTCGGCGGTCGCTCTCGACTGACGGGCCGCGCCGTATGCTGCTCGCGCGTCGCGGGCGGCGAGTGGATCTTCTCGCGCTTGATGAGCTCGTCGCGCTGCTTCGACTGCTGATAGAACTGCTGCTGCTGCTGCTGCTGCTGCTCGCTCAGGGAATGACGAGAATTGGAGTGGGCTCCGGGCGATTGGACCGGCGAGGGCGTCGTGGGGCCCATCGGGAGCGGTTTGCTCAGGTCCGCCGGGGCATCCTGCTCCTCGCGAACCAGCGAATTCATCAGGGGCGCGCGGTAGAGCGACGGGGGCAAGCCCCCCGGTAGGACCGGTGGCGCAACACCGAGCCCAAATGGCCCTGGCGGAGGTACCTGGGGCTGCTGCTGCTGCTGCTGCTGCAGAAAGGGCGGCATGGACGCGTGAAACGCCGGCGCCCCGGACAAGGACGGGACCCCGAGACCGGCCATCAGCGACGAGGGCGGGGGCGGCGAGCTCGGGGGCCTCTGCCCACAGGCAGCCAATTGCTGGAGCAGGGGCGGGTGCAGCTTGTCGAGGTGCTCGGGCACCGGATTCGGGTTCATCTTGACGTGGGGAAACTTGTCGCGGTGCCTCTGAAAGTGAACCTTGAGGTTGCCCTTTGTCGTGAACCGGCTGCCGCACACGTTGCACTTGAAGGGCCGTTCGCCCGTGTGCGACCTTATGTGTATCTGCAGGGCCGAATCGCTGCCAAAGACTTTACCGCAGTAGCGACAGCGGTGCTTGAAAAAAGGCTCGCTGCGCCCGTTGCCGCTCTTACCGTCGTACGGCGACATCCGCGAGCCCTTGGAGCCCCGAAAGGCCAACTCGTCGGCCAAGTTGTTGGCCAACAGACCCTGGCTGGCATTGTCCAGGACCTCCTGGGCGCGCTTCTGCAGCATCTCGAGGGTGTTGGGCTCGTTGAGCGGCATCGGGTCGTTGTTCGTGATTATCGTCGAGGCCAACGACGAGCTGATCGAGCACAATGCCGGCACCTGGTGGGACGGGGGCGCTACCGACGCCTGATGGGGACCGTGAATGGCGCCGCTCATACCACTGCTACTGCCCATCGTCGGCATCATCGACGTCGTGGTCGGCGTCGGCGTCGATGTCACGGGTGGGCTGGCTACGGTATTAGCCGGCTGAACCGCACCGGCGAAAGACGAGTTCAACAGCACCACGGGAGACGCGCTCCGACGATCCGCGGGCGTACTCGAGGGCGAGGGTTGCTGCTGGTGGGGCAGCTGGTGGTGGCTCGGGGGCCGCGAGTGAGCCGGCGAGTGGGTCAACGAGGACAGGGGCTTCGGGTGTATGAGCGCCGTGGCCACAGCCGGCGAGGCCTCCTTGCTGCCTTCCGAGGGCACGGCATCTGCAGCAGCCACCGCGGCCGTGGTCGCGGCACCAGGTGCCTGCTGGGCCGTTATCGACAGCTGCTGCTGGAGCTGGCTGATCAGCTGTAGCTGAAAGACCTGCTGGTGCTGCAGGGTGTACAGGGTGCTCTGGAGCGCGGCGAGCTCTTGGAGGGCCGCTTCGCTGTCGGCGCCCCCGGCCAGGGCGGTAGCCGCGAACTGGGCGACGGCGACCTTGGTGTTCTGGAGGGCCTCGAGGGTGACGTGACTAGTGCCGGCCGGGGCGAACAGACCAGCCGACTGGGGCGGGCCGGCACCCTCGACGAAGCTGTTGTTGTTCTCGGCGTCCTGGCAGAGGCGCTTGCGCTTCCTGGAGCCCTCCTTGTCCTCGTCGCTGGCCGCGGCGTCCTGCAGCTGGCGCAGCTTTTTGACGCCGACGAGGCCTCCAGACGCGGCGCTGCTGCCACTGTCGCCGGGGCCGGTGCGAGGTTGCGGCTGCTCGTCGTACTCCTCGGGCTGCTCCTCGTCGGCGTCCTCCTCCTCGTCTTCCTCCTCGGCCAACTCCTCGGTCGACAGCTCGGTGGGCACGGCCGCGTCTTGGGGCTCTTGCTCGTCCAGGAGCAGCAGCTCGTCCTCGTGCTGGGAGCGCGCCGAAGTGAGGTCGACCGCCTCGTCGCCGGGAGCCGCTCCCCCGGCGCTCTCCTCGCCGTCCGATGCCGAGTCATTGTCTTCACCTGAAAACACAGCGGAGAACAATTGTTGGGGCGATCGTTAGATATACGTACGTTGTGCGCTGCGTTGCATCAGCGTTGGTTCAACAAAATCAAGTGGATACATGGTTATTGGGTTACGGGGATCCTCGAATGGAATAATCGGTATATTAGAAGCTGCGCGTCAAGGTGGAACATAATTTACACTTCCTCCCGGGGCTTATTTAACCTTATTAGGTGTGAAAAAAAAAAAAAAAAAGAAAAATTAAAAATCGGCCCGTCGAAGTGAAATAAAGAAATAAAAGTTTTACGAGCGCGCGGAGTGTGTGTTTTGTGCTCGATGAAAAAAAAAAAAAAAAAAAAGAAGGAAGCAGGAATTAATACCTCTTTCGGAGAGGCGAAGGAAGTATAAAAATTCGTGGGTATATACGTTTAAATTGGTGAATTTGAAAATCNTTAATTATGAAAAAAAAGAAGAAAAAAAAAAAAAAAAAAAAAAAAAAAGAAGGAAGCAGGAATTAATACCTCTTTCGGAGAGGCGAAGGAAGTATAAAAATTCGTGGGTATATACGTTTAAATTGGTGAATTTGAAAATCCAGATTTCGAGGGCCGTAAAAAAATGAAGCATACGAAGAGGGGAAAAAAAAAAACAAAAAAACAAAGCGCCGAGCGCTCTCGTGTACACCCGATAACAATCTTCTCCGAACGGAATACACGGGCGTATGGATCGTAAAAAAAAAAATTTAACCATATACTATATATACGAGCCCTTTCCTGCTTATATCCAAGGTCGATAAAATTAATTTTATTGCGCGGCGTTGAAATGGAAAACGATCGCCTGCACATCACTGGAAGTTACTTAAATATATGTATACGTGTACCAGGTAACTATTGTATTATACGCAGGAAAGGTGAGCGCAAAAGGGGAAAAAAAACAACAAAAAAAAAAAAAAGGATGGCTTTATGAGTGCGCGCAGAGAATCATGCGTAAGGGCTTTCGGATATATTTATGCAGCGACCGCTGGAAAATGGCAAAGACGCATAAATCGCCGATACGTCCCGCACTTGCCTGCACACGTACACTATATAATATACTTGTGTATACGTATAGGTACGCACGTCCATGGACAAGTATATAGAATCAAATGTAACACACGATGGTACAACATACAATGTATGTATATACACATACATACACTTGAAAAGCGCCGACGTATTTTAATTGGTATCCACCGCGTTATTACGCGAGTGACACGTCTCTCTTTCTCCTCTGCCTCCCCCCCCCTTCGTATCACACACACACACGTGCGCATAGTACATGGAAGAGTATAGGGATTGAGGAAAAAAAAGATGTGTATATACATGTGTGCACGCGATTGATGTAACTCTCTATTCCTCGGAGACCATTTTTTTTTTTTTTTTTTTTTTTGTTTTGGAGAGAATTTCATTGGGAAATTGCGATTACGCGAAAGAGCGTTTATATTTTCCACGCGAAATCGAGATTTTGCGCGCTCATATTGTACACGCGTGGATACACATCACGGAGGAATCACGCGAAAGGGTTGTGAAAAAAAAAAAGGGGGGGGAGGTTAGGTTGGGGGTATCGACGTTTTTATCTCTGTTTTTCCCTCGGTCGGTGCACACACGTGTATATATTTATGGAGGTGCGTGCATTTATTTGCGTGAAAGTATAACTGGACGCGCGAGGCGATAAATCAATAGCCATCGGTCCGATTTTTGGAGAGAGAAGCTTTGAAATTAATTGGTTGAAATAAAAAAAAAAAAAAAAAAAAAAAAGAAAGTATCTGCACGATCCATCGCTCGGATTTATCGGTCCTCGCTTGGCCATTGAATGAGCATTTGAGGGGAGAAAAAAGCAGCCTTTCCTGCACAAAGTGTTGTCTCTTTTCTGTACGATCGCCGTATCTCAAAAATATCTTTTGGCGAGGGGGAGCAGGACAATGGCGGCAATTAGTAAATCATTACAATTGCTTATACACACTGTATAATTGAGAGCGCACACTTGTGCCGCACAAATAAGATGAGCGTATACCCCTGCGCGTGATTGTTTGAAAAAAAAACTTATTCCCAAGAGGCATCGTTTTGCCTTGAATCGCTCGTGGATGCACATAATTTTTATCTCTCTCTCTCTCTATTTCTTTTCTTAATCTCGTATTAAACGCGCCACTGCTATACTATATACCTCCGCTCTTCTGGCGCGCGTCAGGTATGGGAAAAATTATTACGCGCTGTCGAAGCATCAAGGAATTTTCTGGCTCTTTTATGCTCCCGCGTTCTTTCTACGTGTACAATACGCGCGCATAAATCAAACGACTTAATCTGACGCAATAAATATTATTAACTTCATTTTTAGACTCCAGAATGAGTATCAGACAGCGTATATTTGAAATGTAAATCAAGATCTCTGATGCGACGCGTACACATGGACGAGCAAAGATTTTATATCATTTTCCTCCTTTATACACACATATTTTTCCACGTGTCCGTACAGAAATATTAATCCTACAGGGATGAGAAAGAGAGAGGTATGGAGGAAGGCAGCTGCGATAATATTAGCCATATATATGTCTCCCGTATATGCGGCGTTTAAACCATTTATTAAAAAAAAAAAAAAAAAAAAAAAAAAAAACTTTTCTTTTACTCACTCATAAAAACGGGACGTTGTACAGTATAATATAGACAAAAGGCCTACCCGTGATTACCGTCGCGCAGACACACGCGGCTCGTTAGCACACTGTATGGTATATTATCATTATGCAAACTCGGTGCACTAGTCGCGCTGCACTTCCTCCTCGACCCTCTGTCGTTTGCCCTTATCGGGAGGCGACGCTCATACTTGTAAGTGTTGAATGCGTGTGGCACAAAAAAAAAAGCGCAATTACAAGAGGTGTTATAATTCTCCGACGTGGCGATATTATTGTGATAAATATACATCAACCCTGCACGTGCAGTGTTTGCTGTAAAAAAGGCGTCGTGGCGAACGTCTTTATTACTTATTAGTCGGAGCTGCGTTTTAACGCTTCGTTAAATATGTTAGGTCAAAGTGGAGAAAAAAAAAAGTTCATCAAGCGTGTGTATAGGTTGTACGAGTTGTTTTTTTTTTCCAAACGTGACCAAACATATTTGAGAGTTGTCGGAGCTGTGGAAATATTTGTATTTAGCGTGACAAAAAATCGTACTCTCTTCCAATGTAATAATTTGTTCCAATCAAACGAGTAAATTATCCAATACCAAAACTTGCCCAGCCAGAAGTAAAGTATAATTTACAGCCAAATTCCGAAATAGTGATCGTTCCACCGATTTCGAAACAACCGTCCCGACGAAGTCGTACATAAAAAAGAAATAAAAAATAAATCAAGAGAAGCACTCCTGCAGCGCAAATTTTCTCTTTTGCAAGTGAACTTTGGTGTAGCTCGCGTCACGTAAAAGAACACACCAAGAATGATCGGAAAAAAAAACAACAATATTTTCTCATGTATGGCAATACCGGATAGTTTAGCGTATCCGATCCTCGACTGGGCATCCGGAGCCTCGTTGCTCTGACAGTTCCTCGCGTCCCGGCGTTGCTTCTCGGCCCTGCTCTCCAGCCGTCTGGTAATACTCCAGCGCATAAGCTGCATCTCGGCCGCCTCGAGCTCAGTCCCCCGGTCCTCGGCCAGTTTGCAGCCGCACGTGCAGGCACTTCTCGAGGCACGCACACCCTCCGCACCCTCGGCTTATTTCAACCACGACCGCCTCATTTTTCGCCGATCACTCCGTATCGGTACGCGATCGATCATCACGGCTCCTTTCTATATACGTAATAATTTCTCGACGAACAATCAAGGGCGGATGGACAACAGTCAACATGGGTGTGCGAGTCACAAAACCTATAGGTATCAATGATAAACCTGGCACTTGATTTGATTGTTTCGGCACACCAATCACCCGTAATCGTTGTATCCGCTAAAACACACCGTATACCTAATGCCTATCATGCGCAGTCCGAGGACGAAAAGCAACTGATCGCGCTCCGCCGCTCGCCAGACGGAGAACCGGCTCTCTCTCCATCCTCGTCTTTCTCCTGTACTACGCTGCATCCCCACCACCGTACGCTCGCTTCCCCTTTCGATCCCCACCCTTTCGCGTGGTAGTGCCTATGTATGCGTCGGTGCTTAGCAGTGCGCCCCCACTCGCGCAAACACAGAGGGGAAGGCAAACGCCTCCTCCTGCGCCGCCCTCCCTCCATCCCCACCCACAAAGTGCGCGCGTCTCGGCCTATCCCTATCGTCCTACTCAGTCTCCCCTTCCCCTTGGCGATGTGTAGGTGTGTGTATGAGCATATCTCGCGAGCGTGCGCTCCCCGCGGTTATGACAGGGAGGGCGTTGCGGTTCATAAATCAGGGGCGGGAGAGAGTTGGTGGGGGAAGGGGTCGCAGGGGTGGGGGAGAATGAGTTTTAGTCCGCGAAAGGCGGAGCTTGCGTCGAACCACTCAGCGATCGCGATTATTAATTATTATACGAGCGAGCGCGAGAGAGGTTCCGATGTATCGTAACGTAGGTGTACATGTACGTACGGGGAGGTGTACGAGTTTGTTGTCGACACCCAAACCGTTCTTTGCTCGACGAATACTTCTTATACTCGTGCGCGAGCGCGAAAAACGATGGTTATGCTGTGCCAAAAGGAAAGTGTGCGCTCTCGTTTGAGCTTTTATACCGTATGGCCGTGTGAATTATTTGTTGTCGGAAAATATTTGAAAATTGCTTATTCAACCAAATTACTGAATGTCGAATAATGACAAGTGTTGTCGATGGAAATTTCATGACTAATCTAGATTACAAATGTATCCGTTAATCGTCAATGAGCAAAGTAAGTATTAACGATGTTAGAAGAATAAAAAAACCAGCAGTATAGTCCTTCGTACCACCCAGCGAGATAAGAAAAAGACCCCAAACTACTCCCTTCCAGATTTTTTTCCTCCCCGTTTTCCCCATGTATGAATATTTATAAAAGCCACCCTGAGACGATTTCACAACATATTATATCAATGTATCGTTACACTGTTGAAAGTTTTTGGACAAAATAATGAATAATCAGACAATTTCAACCCTGCAGGTATAAACATATCGATGTCGTGCCTTTGTATCTCCACCCTCGTCATAAATGTATGCGAACAATGGAGTATCAACACAGAAATATGTATGTACAAGACTCTCGGGACGGGAAATTCTTCATTTCGAAAAGGCACGCAAACATCTGTCAGGCTATCTCTTCCCTCTGCGGCACAGTAGAAGCGCGTTTTGTGTAAGCGCGTGTATTACGTACACGTAAAAATCTCGAAATGACAGCCGCGTGACAACAAATCTTGAGGATGAAAAAGATAGGCGCCCCCCCCCCCGCTGCATCCTTGTCCCTCATACTCGTGATAAATCTCAGATATCAGTTCCTGGAGATTTTTCAGATGCTGGAGCTCTAAATTTGACGTCTCGGTCGGGCTGCAGTGCAGCTGCTCTGTTTTGTCCCAAATATAATGCATTTTGTTGGTTCTCGGCTGTTTTTGAACCTATATATGAATTTTTTTTTTATACTTTTTTTTTTTTTTTTT